AGAGGCCTTTTCTGTCATATATTCTTTTAAATTTCCTCTCCTTAGAAATCTGCATGCATTCATGAGGGCTGGTAAGACCTGTCTTCTCTGGCTCTTGGGCCCTGATAGATATGTTGGCTACTGTCATTTTTTTTGGGGGGGGGTACTGTTGCTTGTTCATGTTGTTTTTAGGATAGGCCATTCCTTAGGGAAGAAGTGGGAGATATGAATGATTCAAAGTAAAGAAGAAAGAGGATGCCAGCTTGCAATCTCCTTTTTTTATCTTTTTCTGAGAGATAAGGAGGTGGGTTACGCAGCGTGTGCACCAAGACCAGCCTCACCCAGTTGCTGGACTGAAAAAAAAATTGTAGAGTATCTCCAAAGAGGACAATCTTGTTGGGGTGTGAAACAAGACGAGGCAGAGAGTTTTCCCTGAAACCCGTCAACAGCAGAAGATGACACAGGGAGCAGGTGTTAGCAAAACCGCTGGCAGCTGGTATTTTAATATGAGACACAAGTTGCTAATGTCATTACTGTTTACATTCATAATGCCATAGCAGAGTGGGTGTTCAGTATGACATTTAATTGCAATGCTGGTATCGTTTGCTGTCGGTTTCATAATCTGTGCCAGGGAAATTTATAAAGCTGGTCATTATGGGTTAATATCAGCAACTGAGGCAGGCAGCTTAGGAGAACATGGCTTCTGTCTCCTGTGAAATTTGCATCACTGGAGCAAGTGCACAGTGTGAATCCTGCCCGTGTTGGCTAGACAGTGGGAGAAAACTCAAGTTTGGAAAACGTACTTTTCTGAAAGACAGCCCTCTGTCTTCTCCAGCTAACATGGCCAAAATGGAAACTGGGAGCTGTCATCCAAAAATTAGGGTTTTTTTTTAGCTCACTGCAAAAATGTTGGGCCAGGTGAACCCACACTGCCACTGTTCCCTGTGCCACATTGAACCCTGAGAATTTCATTTATTTGCTTTAAATAATTTAATATACAGTTAATTTGTATACTTTAAATGTTTTCATTTATTTATTTTAAACATCTTTGTCCTGATTGCCTTTCAATGATAAAGCAATGCAAAGGCAAAGCAACAGGTGTGAATCTGATACATGATCATTTCATATGGAAAGATGGTAGAAAACGTATACTGTATGTCTGAATTTTAAGGCATGCATTGAGCCCTCCTACCCTCACTCTCTTGTCCCACTTTTGATCATCTAGCACGACCATTCTGATCTGAAAACTGAGGGCCTGTCCACACTAGGAAATTTGGAGTGCCCTGCTTCTTACTTAAAAGGTTCTTCTCTCAAGTGCAATCCATTTAAATTCTCACTGGAGTGATCTTTACATCCACACTAGAAATCCTGCTACAGGTCCACACAGAGCAAGGCTTACCTGATTTATTCGCAAATACATTTACCTGATTTACTCATGAGTAAGGAGGCAGCAACAGCAGCAGTTCAGGATAGCTGCAGCATGAGGGGAAAATGTTCAGGTGAAGATTGGGGAGACAGAAGGGAGGTAATCCCCTTCTTTATTCCTGGGAATTACTTTTTCATGCTCCCTCTCTTGGTCCCACTACAGACCATCAGCAATAAAGGTGGCCAACAGCATAAGCAAACTGCTCACACAATTTCACTGTGTCCAGGGTGGGGAACTGGTTCCTGTGGCCCTAGAGATAATCAAGCATAAAATCTTTGTGCAGCTGTTGTATGGTATTGCTGTTTGGATTAAGAGTTTTAACCCCTCCATTGAAAGCACCTTATCAAATACGTTGCGATCCTTATTTGCCATGCCAAGATGCTCCTCTTCAGCCAGTTTGTGCCTCGAAGCTGATATGCCCTCAGTAGAATGCCACGTGTGACTACATGCATTTCATTATTGGATGAAAGCAAAACAAAAAGCAAAGCATGCTGCTTCAAGAACTCTCTGTGCGGTTTATAAGTTAATAATGCAGGCTACACATTGCCCCACCCCTCAGTGAGCTGGATACTAATTTTACTGACCTTGGAAGGATAGAAGGCTGAGTCAACCTTGAGCCGGCTACCTGGCATTGAACCCCAGGTCATGAGCACAGTTTTGGCTGCAGTATAACAGTTTAACCACTGCTCCACAAGGCTCTATCTATGCCCCAATAATCAGTGGCTACCTATACTATTTGCAGAAATACGTCTTTGCCAGTTCATGGGATAAGGGATTTATAGAAAAACTACATCCCTTAGGCTTCTCTATGGACTTCTTACTGAGAAGCCTCAAGGTAGCATTAAGCGAATTCAACGTATTAAAGATATAGCCCTTCAGTACTCTCTAGCTTGTGCAAACAGGACTTGTTCACCACTGTGTTTTGACCTAAATTTTAACTTCCCCAAGCCAGCTAACTACCTATACCAAATTACAGCACCTAAATACTGTATTGCTTTCTAAATGTACTACTAGACAAATGATCTTGAGTAGTCAAGATTGTGTCCAAATCCAGGTTTATTCCTTCCGGTGACTTTATTAACTAATAATTAATGAAATAAAACTCATTCAGTAATTTCTGACTTTATTTTAGTGTTATGCAGGCATAGCTTTAGCAAGTCAGCCCCACATCCAAAAACGGTAAGCTATGTACTGCTCTCTGATAGTTAATTCCTTTAGAAATCTTGAATAAGTGAACAAGCTCTTAAGTGACAAAAGGTTTACTGCTCCACAACAAACAGTCAAGGGCTAAGGAACAAAAATGCCAAGGAATCACCTGGTTGGAGGGGTAGCTAAAGGTTTCCTGTAAAAAAAAGCTTGCAGTCAAACGTCCAGAGATTCTGTTTTAGGTTTAGTGGTTTTTTGTTAACACGATTTTTTTTAAAAAAATCAAAAACGTTTTCTAGGGACTACAGTGGGACGTGAAGGTCTGGGGGGGGGAAAGTGCAGGAAAATCACATTGCTTGTTTCACTCCCTCAAGCACAGTATAAATACTGTATATTGGCAATTTTTACACAATGCCCCCCCCCCAATGAACTGCAGCCCTGAAATCTCAGTGAATGGGCTACTGCTGATCTGGCAATTCCACCAACATTGAAGTAGAAGGGGTAGAAGTTGTAACAGTGGTCGAAATTCTACACAGCAAGTTGGGAGACCTCGTCTAGTTGGGTGAGATGTAGTTTAGAGTGGAGAAGGCAACATAGGGATTGCTATAAAATTGTAGTTGTGCTGTCAAGTTGGAACGGACATACAGTGAACCTAACAAGGTTCTCAAAGTAAGTGTGATATTTAAGGAATGGTTTTGCCAGTTCCACTCTCCCAGTCATTTTCTATGGGTATTCGAACCCTGTTCTCCAGAGTCCTAGTCCATCACTCTATCTGCTACACCAGTGGTCCCCAACCTTGGGCCTCCAGATGTTCTTGAACTACAACTCCCAGAAGCCTACACCACCACCCCTTCTGGCCAGGATTTCTGGGAGTTGAAGTCCCAGAACATCTGTAGGCCCAAGGCTGCGCTACACCACACTGGGAGATAGAAGAATTAAATGGAGCAAAACGCTTATGTCAACAGAAGGAGATTCTAGATCCTAACCATTGTGTTTCTGTTCTTATCAGTAACTCTCCCAAGTTACCACACAGTGGTCCTATGCCATTATCAGTAGTGCTGTCCAGTCATTTTTCTCTTTATCTGCAAATGTGCTTTCATCATGTTTGAGACTGACATCTTTTCTAGGAAAATGGTTAGCAGTCAAGTAAGATACAGCATTTCCCAAGTATTTTCCAAGCAAAAACAGTGATTACGTTAGGCAGAGCTGAAATGTTGTCATGATGTGGTAATCTTTGTTGGCTTTTAAAGAAATTATTTATTTTTCAAAACTTGACCACACTTTCACTTTCTTCTGTTGGATGTGCAATGTCTCTTGACCCAGGTAACCTGTTTACACAACTGGTCATGAATTCAGCAGACAAGCAAGCCTCGGGCAATTTGTAAACATTTTTAGCTTTGGAAATCATCAGATTCAGACTTCCTCTTCATGGAAAAATTCTTCTTCCAATCCCATTTGACTCCTATTTATCTGCTATTTTGTGAAGAACAGTCTGCAGGTGTAGTATTAGAACCTAATATATTTCAGATAGGTCTCCCCCCCCCCCCCCAGGTTTGTGAAGTGGAGTCTTAACAATGCTGACAATGAAGCTGGGTGTTTCTATTACGGAAACACTTTAAGGTTTTTATTGAGTTTATAAAGAGGGCTCATTTCTCACCTCTACTGGGCTGTGTATGGACCTCCCTATGGGGAAACAACAAACCAAACCAAACCAACCCCAAAGAAATAGAAAGGAAACAGAAATGGCCTGAAAACCATTTAATGGTTTATTAAAAATTGTGTGTTGTGGGGGTTAAATTTAGAAAAATGTGGGGGGGGGACAAGGGGAACACTGGAGGCACTCAAGAAAAAACAAGACAGCCATCTGTCAGGTATATTTTAACTTGGATTCCTGCATTGAATAGGGAGGGGGGTGCACCTTTTCGTCTCTTAGGTTATTTAATCCTATCACCCTGCACCAGTTCCACATGTATGTGCATTTCACAAGCCATGCAAGGGGAAAGGAGGGGGCTGGTATCTAGATGGCAACTTCTCCTTTCCCTTTCCGAAGATTCTTGCTTTCACCCTCCCCTTAGTTGCAGCTATGTCTTAGTCTGGAGTGTGTCAATGTGTGTGCATGTATTCATATCTTATCACGAATAGTCAGAAACATTTTTTTTTGCTGCTCTGCTGGACATTCTGAGATAAGCAGAAACACCTATAGGCAAAGTAGCTTTGGTACATTTGGGGGGGGGGAGTCAACCTTTGTGATGTTTGCTTTGTTTGATTCTGTTCAATTTCAAATCCTCAACAACCTTGAGTTGTTTTTGAGGAATCTGCTTCTGGCTTAACCATTTATAGAAACTGTGAACATTTACAGGAAGTCTACATGCAAGAATTGCCCTAGATTTCACAATACTATCAGGGGATCTCCCAGTTTTGATCTGTATCAGAACTCAAATACCTTAGCTATAAATTTACAGGCATGCAGTTCTTATACTCAGTTTCTGTATCTGGATTCAGAGCAGCTGGCTTTAAAATGGATCTCCGGGTCAGCAGTGCATTCTTCTTGATCTGCTGCTATTGCCTCTGGGATGCAGAAGCCCGAAGTTTTAATTCTGTCCTCACAGTCACAAATGGAGGACCATGGGGTAGTTGGGGGGAGATCCAGTTTTGTCCCAATGGATATGCTCATGGCTTCTCACTGAAGGTACGTGCTGCCCTTCTTATTGTTTCTTTTTCCTAACAGTGAAAGTACATCTGAGTTATAACTGTAAATTAATAAGGGATAGTTTTATTTATGTTCTGGTGAAGTTTTTAGTTCCTTTTCTTTACTCAGTAACTATTGCAGAGTTCTTTGAGGTATCCTTCCTTTCCTTGTTATGTTTTGGTGATCTAATAAAGATATTCTGATTTTTGGTGTAACTAATTTTTCTCGCTCCAAAGAATAATATTTGAAGTTTCCGGCTTCATAATATTACATCAATTTCTCAGATTTACAGGGGAGAACATCATAGTCTTATCGTGTATGTTAACATAAAGTATAGCAGGCTAAACAATGTCCAGTTTGAAATGTACAAACCACAACTCAGAAAGAGCCCTTGGCTCTGGAGTTTAGAGAAGACTTTGGTGGTGTTCACATGTCGTGGATACTCTTCTCATGGTTCCCATCTGGAAAATAAACAAAACACTGCCAGCTCCTTGGGTGATGATACCAGGGGTGCAGGGGGGCAGCCTTGGTGGCTGGCAGTAGGGCACGGTTTATGGCAGCGGCTGGGTTGACATGTCAATGCTGAAAGTGGAGCCAGATGATATGAGTGTTGCGCCCCATCTATACAGGCCCAGTGGTAGCCATTAGGGCTTGCATGGGGGGGAGGACACTGACATTTTAGCCTGTCCATCAAATCTTAATTGCATCCACAATTCCCATTGAAAATCACTGGATTCTGGTGTTTGTCACCTTTAGTTGCTATTGAAATTAAAGGTAAAGGTAAAGGTTCCTCTTGACAATTTTTTTTGTCCAGTCGTGGTCAACTCTAGGGCGCGGTGCTCATCCCCGTTTCCAAGCCATAGAGCCAGCGTTTGTCCGAAGTCAATCTTCCGTAGTCACATGGCCAGTGCGACTTAGACACGGAACGCTGTTACCTTCCCACCGAGGTGGTCCCTATTTATCTACTCGCATTTGCATGCTTTCGAACCGCTAGGTTGGTGGGAGCTTGGACAAAGCAACAGGCACTCACTCCGTCACGTGGATTCAATCTTGCGACTGCTGGTCTTCTGACCCTGCAGCACAGGCTTCTGCGGTTTAGCCCACAGCACCACCACGTCCCTCTGCTATTGAAATTAATGGGACTTAAATTAGTCCTGATTTTTAGCACTTATTTCAATGGGGCTAACTTGCTATCAATGAACCCTCTGCTCGTGTACAAGTAAGGCTCTTTATCTCTTCTCCCACCAGGTAGAGGGATCACAGGGCAAAGGTGATGATACAGCCCTGAATGGAATCCGCCTGTACTGTACTGACGGCTCTGTGATTGAGTCTACAGTTGCACCGTAAGTGTACTTTCCCCTCTGTGTTTGCACACTAATGATTAGAGGGTCTGGTCTGAAAGAATAGAGGGTTTTCAGAAGATGTGAGTGTACTCAGAAGATGTTTACTTCGTAGCCCAAGGCGACAAGGTTGATTCTTCTCCCAGGAGGCACAGTGAGAAATCAAACTTCCATCCTCTGGCTCCATAGCCAAATATCTGATGCACTTAGCTATCCAGCCAATATAAGTTGTATTAATCTAAGAAAAGGAAGATAGATAACAGTGGGGATTCAGAAGTTCAGTTGTCATTTGCAGAAACAAAAGTTGGAAAAGTTGCTTTTCTGTTTTCTCTGGCAGGTGGGGGAGTTGGACGGGAATTCAGTATTGCCCCAAAGGGAACCTGGTCTCTTTCTCTTTGAGAGTGGAAGGGCACCAAGGGCAAGGGGATGACACAGCAGCCAACAATATCCAGTTTACCTGTGAAGACGGAACTGCACTCATGGGCCAGGGAGCGTACTGGGGTAGTTTTGGTGGATGGAGCCGTCGCTGCGTTTCTGGGTTCGTATGTGGGATCCAAACAAAGGTGGAAGGTCACCAAGGGCGTGGCGATGACACAGCACTTAATGATGCAAAACTCTTCTGTTGTGACCCAACCATGGATATTCAAAGTCTTTTCAAATGAATACTGTGCTTCTGTATATGTGTTTGTAGAGAGAAACGATGTATCTTGTAAAACTGTTTTCCTGAATGTTTTGTCTACTCATCTCCGTTGGAACGCTTCCTTTTTCTGTAGAACAGATAACCTTATTAGTTTGTTTGCTAGGATTTCAGGTAAAAACAAAACAATAATAATAAAAAAGAAGACAAAAACGTTCTGGCACATTAAAGGCTAACTGCTATATTTTAATGTGAGCTTTCATGGACAATTTCACTTCTTCAGAAAGACAAACAAATGAAACTGACCAGAGAAATTGACAACATTGGGAGCTTATTCACTTCGCAGAGGAGAATCTCAAAATGCACAACACAGAATTGATAAAAAAAACATTTTTAATATAAAACTGTTTCCCTTTTAAAGCTACAGATCTCTTATATAGAATGCTAATACTGTATAAAATTGTACATTTTAATATCATTAAATTCATGGAGTCTTCCTGGAAAAGGTGTCTAATAAATTGAAATAATAATAGGAATAAAATAATATTAATTGTTTTCTGGGGTACTTAATACAGCATTCTTATAAAGTTCAAAACAAGAACATGAAAACAATATATCTGTCAACTAAAATTAATTTCTCTCCTTCCCAAAGAATAACAAAGCGCTTGGATAATCCATCAACATAATGAAATCAAATTAAAATCAGCCAATTATGTAACATCAAACATCTAGAAAGAAAAGCAGGGATGGGGGTGAATAAAGAGTGAGAAAACAAATAAAAGATGGGCATCTAAATCAGCTGAAAAGACACTGGGTCATATGGCTAGAATGCTAGTAAAACCGAGACAACTTAGTTATATAGCCGGCGTCTTCAGAGGACAGGAGTTAGAAATCTATTTGTGTTCCATCCTCTGAAGATGCCGGCCAGAGAAACTGACAAAACATTAGAAACAAAAACCTCCAGAACATGGCCAAGCAGCCAAAAAAAACCTACAACAACCATATTTTTTCCTGTCTTGTATTCAGTGTCTCCTCCTGAGGTGCAGTGCCCTATCATGTAGGAAGCAAAACAGAAAATGACAAATTCTTTTTCTTAAGAATGCTATGCAAGATTTCACTTTTTTTTTTCCTGCACAGAACAAATTGTAGTGAAAATAGGACCGGAAATCAAGAGCCAGCATCCTTTAGGAAAGAAATCCTTCTGTTTTAGGGAAGGCTTGTCAAGCATTGCCAGCATAATGGAACACCCAACATAATTGTGAAAGAGAGATATCTTGAGAAATAGTCACATTTCAAGCTTACACAAACTTCTTCCAGGGGTATATCGCAAAAATGGACACACATGTTGCTCCCGAGTTTGAGTCTCACACCTTCACATGAGAAGGATTAAGTGGGGTGCCTTACATCCTGCACATCGCTCTTTAATTTGAAGCTACGTATGATCTACAGTAGTGTAACTTCTATTGAAATGCAACATATATGTAACTGGTACCACCATCAATTAGTGCCAACACAAATTAATAGATATGTGATTTAGGTTAAGCCCAAGTAATAAGGCTTCTATTCAAATTATTGTCTTGAATAACAGGTTAGGTTCTTTAATAGCAAATTTGTGATTAACCTGGTGATAAAGATACTCTTTCCATTCACAGGTGGGTTTTGCAAAAACAAAACACTTGCTTTGTTACTAGTCCTGAGTGGTCTGTTCCTTCTTTGGTTCTGCTAGACTAGGAGCTTCTCATAGTTCTATTTTTCTACTAGTCTTTAGGTGTCCTCGTTTTCGTTCATCTTCCACCTCTTGTATTTAGGACTGCTTTGTGGAGGCAAAGTCCTTTTGGTTCCCTTAAGTATAGTTTTGTGATGACTTTAAATGAGAAATTCAAGTTTTGATTTACTTTGCTGGCAGGGGCCAGATCTGGCAAAGTTTTGGGTTCCGCACCTCTTCTGTGGGGGTCTAATTCTGAAATAAGACTTGCGACTCATCCCAAGCCTTCTGCACTAGGCTTTCCCCTCACTATAGCTTCCAAATTAGTTGACAGCCTTTCTCTTCTTCCTATATGTGACATTCTTCAGCAAGCTAATTGAAAGGAGATGGTCAGAAAATGTGTAGGGCCAAGAAAGTTGCAGAATATCAGGAGGGCAAAGAAAGGGTCAATTTTTGTTAGGGATACTTCTGTTGGGATCAGTGCCAAGTCAAATTCTCATAAACTCTGAGAGGTTTTTCAGGGAACTTAACCTTTGCTTCACAATGTTGCCATTGTTGAGGCACAGTGGGTATATATAAAGGGAAAATCTGTGACTATTGCCCCAGTGTCTGTAATTTTCTACATACATTTCCTAGTTTCGAGTTATGAGTCACCTCAAATACCTGGGACTCTAAATTTCCAAGTCTGCTTCTTTCAGTTACGTTTTAGCATCTAGGTTTTCAGAAAGTGACTTTCAATGGAGCACTCTATCAGCACTGCGTTCTTTTTGCTCCTCTCTTGCTCTCTGTGGGAAGCAGAAGCCAGAAATTTTAATTCTATCATCACAGTGCCAAATGGAGGTCCATGGGGTAATTGGGGAGATATCCAATTCTGTCCCCGAGGACATGCTCATGGCTTCTCCCTAAAGGTAAGTGTCTCCTTTTTATATACCCTAATGATGCTCTCTAGATACGTTGAGGTAACCTCATAATGAGTCCCAGCCAATCTTAGCAGTGATTGGGAATGATGGCATTTAATGGCACAGCTCTCATTTCTGATGAAGTGGGCCCCTGACTGAGATCCTGAGCAACCCTGTGGAACTGAGGAAAAAAGAGCAGTAAAGGGGATCCGTAATGTGGTAAAGGAGCAGGTAGAAAGAGAAGGGGCTCATATTCAGTGGCTGGTTTAAGTGTATTCAAAAGACCCTGGGCTGTGTTCCCAGATCAGGAGAGATTTTGCTTTGAGATCCTGGAGACAGACCGTAGCCAACTGAACAAAAGGTTTATCAGTAAAAGCCAGCTTGCTGTGAGAGGCAGTGTAGTGCAGTGGTTAAGAGTGTCAAACTACAACAGGAGAGAATTAAGTTCAAATGCACACTTGGGTACAAAATGTGACTCTGGACCAGTTATTCTCTCTCAAGTTAATCTACTCTACAGCACTGTTGTAGGAATAAAATAGGGTGATTATGGAAAAAACTATATGAAGATTACTTTTAGGACACTAGAGGGAAGGTGGGATGGAACTGCAATTCATAAAGAAAAGTGTTCCATTTGATGTACTATCAGGGCTGTATTTTTCTCTCTCCTTTTTAATTGTAGGCAGTTGAAGTGAGAATCATCAAGTTTGGATGATTCCAGATGGCGGTTTCCTGCTGCAACTAATCAAAAGACATCGGCCAAAATCCAGTCAAATATTTACACTGTGTAAGTCTAATGGTATAACTTGGAGAGGCAATTAGGAACTAATGAAGGAGTCCCCAGTTGAATTCCTAGTTGCATGCTGAGTCACACAACCAGTGTGTGACTAGAAATTAATTCAGGGCCTCATAAATTAGTGGGTATTTGCCATTTCAAGTTATGCTGTTGCACTTATGCTTGCATAATTATTCAATCAGATTCTGGCCAATTTGTAAATTTTCAACGCCCCCCCCCCCCCATATTCCACTAGCCTTCATTATTTTAAAAGCCATAAACTGGTTTTGAAGTACAGTATCTTAGCTCATTTTTAGAACAATGTTCCGCAGGGAACATATGGAAATTAGGCATCTCTTCTTTTTTTCTGGATACCCTCCAAATGAAAAATATGTTCTTGCACAAAAATCTCTACACCTGTTCATCAGAAATGTAGCAGCATTTATGCCATCAGAGGGGTCAACTGTGCTTAGCCATTCTTTTTTTCCAGTTCTGCTTAGAATGTTTTAAGAAGTTATTGGTGCCATTAAAAAAAAGAAACTAAAATTTAAGGGCATAGAGGGCAGCCACCCTTGCATCTGTTTGTTTGAAATTCTAAAGGCATAAACTTCTCCCAAAGGGCTTCTTCCTCTGCAAATTCCATCCAATTCTTCAGAAGAGAACACAAGTTAGAACTGATTTGACAGCACATGATTATTATGTTATTGCCAGGCAATGGAAAGTGTGGACCTTTGGATTTCTGAAATTATACTCAGATTTGGAATCCAAGGTAAAACATACTAACTCTAATTCTGAGAAGGTAGAAGTGGGCCGTTTTCAAACACACCAAATCTGGGTCCAAATCAGAGGTCATTATTCATTCCTACTTTTCACATTTATTTTAACAGGACTAAATGTGGCCTGGATCAACTCTAGTGTCACTTGCTCATGTATAAGTGTGAGCTGTGTTGCAGCCTATACCTATAACATTATCTCTTTATTGCTTCTCCCACCAGGTAGAGACACCTCAAGGTGTTGGGGTTAGGCAGGATGATACATCCCTGAATGGAATCCGCTTGCATTGTACTGATGGTACAATAATTCATTCAACAATTGGGCTGTGAGTAGATTTTTCTCATCCTCTGTTTTGGGGAGGGGGGAGATTGAAGGGGGTGGGGTGAACTATTTTATGCTAGGTTAAATCAGAGTTGGCCAAAGACAACATCAACAATCACTTTGCTTATTCTAAGCTTTCCAAGGGTGCCACCCTCTTGGCTTCTCCTGGCATCTAATACAGTGCCATAAGATCCATCTGATCACAGGAGAGAGATCTGTTATCAAGTGTAAGTCTTTCTGGGCACTTGGTTAGGCCAGGCTTTAAAAACCATTTGGGCTGAATCTTCAGAAACCCATTGCCCACACTGGATTGGGGATTTGGAAAGCTGTAGTCCAGGTAGCTAGATAGACAGACAGACAGATTGCTTGCTCTCCTGGTGAAGTAACAGAGAAGTGAACAAGTGCTGGTCCTACCTGAGGTTAGGTGGCCAGATTAAGCAGTAGGGTGCATAGTGGCCAATTATGCCACTCCTACAATGCCTCTCTGAAGCCAGCTAGTCCCAAATGTTTAGTTTTAAGGGAGCCAAGGAGTTGCTGCTGAACAATTCTGTACAGAGTCATATTGACTGCTCTGTGAAGCCAATGAAACTGGCCACAGTACCTGACCACCCTTTGTGTCCAAGGTGAGTGGCAGGAGTGGTAGGAGCCGTGGTGATGGGTGGGGTAGGGAGAGTTTGTGTGTGGCCAAAAGAGGGCCAGGGACAGCACTTTCCCCCCTCCATTACCATTGATGGAGGGAAGGAAGAGTAGTGGGAGCAAGGCTTCCTTTTGCTGTTTTCTGCTTAGCGTTCATTTGCTTTAGACCAGTGGTCCTCAGTCTTGGGTAACCCAGGTGTTCTTGGACTATATCTCCCAGAATTCCTGGCTAGCTCAGCCTTCTGGGAACTGTAGTCCAAGAACATCTGGTTTACCCATAGTTTAGAACCACTACTTTAGACTCATAGGAAGAAAGCAATAAAGGAGTAGCAAGGACAAAAGAGGGGTGACAGCAGCTAAGGGCTAGTGAGTCCTTTCTTCCTCCCAAATACTTTGATGCTGGCATGCTTGATGGAACTAAAGATGGAAGTAAGAGACAGTCAAAGTGTGAGGGGGGAAAACCCAGATTTTCCTCAAAGAATAGCATATTTCAGTGAGAAGAGGCTAGAAGAGAGAAACAGTGCCTTCCATTGTGAAGAAATAAGCAATTCTGAAGGCAGGAAGTAGCTTATACCCCCTTCCCTAGAGGGCTGTGAAGGTGAAATGAGGAAATGAGTTCCACATTTGCCAACAAAAAATGGTTCTGTTACCTCAGAAAACCGTGCTACTTCAAAATGTGTTGAGTCCCACTAACATTTTTGCATCTTTGAGGCCTCTTTATAATCTTTTACTGTAACCAGTGAATTTCCTCAAGAACCTTCTCAGGCCCCATTGTTGAGCAATGTTAAAGTGATATTAAGTACTTTCATACCCACTAGTATCTAATTCATAGGTACAAATACAACAAGAGTCTTTGTTCTGGTTTATTTACGGCATCATTATACCTTCAAGAACTGACCTGGCATTCTTATCTCTTTCAAAACACCCATAATGGCAAAACAAACAGTTTTGCTCTAATTTTCAGGCAATGCAGCAAGTGTAGCGTAGCGGTGGGGATTTTCGTGGTACAGAGAGGGTACATTGCCCCCCCCAAAAAACCTATGTGTGGCAAACTGTCATCTACATTTGAAGTTATTGGTGGTGCAGTCCCTGAGGTTTGCCAGAGTGACCTGCATGGTACAACCCTGCAGCTGGGCAAGGCAGAACATCTCCTTTCCTTCAGGAAGGGTAGGATGAAAAGTGGCCTTTATATGACAGCTCTACTGGCAGCAATATTTGGCTGAGTTTGGTACCTTTTACTTAATCCTGCCTTGTTGTTTCATCTGAAAAGCCAACATGGGGAGAACACCACCTTTATCAGTTTCAGACCAAGTCAGCTTCGTGCTGTGGTTTATGAAGTTAGCTTGCTTAAATTAAATTCCCAGTTTGGATGATGCAGAAACCAGTGGTTAGGGAAAAGTAGAAGCAGATCTTCAGATTTCCTTCTCTCAGTTGTGTGGATAGAACAGAGTGAAAGGGAAGTGAAGAGACCAAAGGCTTGCTGAAGCTTGTTTACACAGGATTACGTTGGCTTGGGCATGTCATGAGAATGGCTGAAGGTCAGATTCCAAAAGATCTCCTGTATGGAGAATTAGTGCAGGGAAAGCACCCCAGAGGGAGACCACAGCTGTGATACAAGGAGATCTGCAAGAGGGATCTGAAGGCCTTAGGAATGGACCTCAACAGATAGGAGACCTTGACATCTGAGCATTCAGCCTGGAGGCAGGTAGTGCATCATGATCTCTCCCATTTTGAAGAGACCCTTAGCAAGCAGGCCGAGGCAAAGAAGCAGTCCCAAAACCAGCATAATCAGGGAACTGGACAGGGGACAGATTGTGTTTGTCTTCAGTGTGGAAAGGATTGTCACTCTTGAATTGGCCTTCTCAGCCACACTAGATGCTGTTCCAAGACCTCTATTCAGAGCACGTTGCCATAGTCTCTCAAGACTGAAGGATGCCTACATGTAAGACAGCTTAGTATTACATCCAAACCTAGCCAGTGAGGCTTATCACAAGGCAGATAGGCTTTCTTATGAAATGATGATGGTGAACCAGACTATTCTTTGGTAGGAAACTGACATTTGGTGTTCTTGATTTCTTTGGCAGCTGGGGATATTGGACAGCAGTTCAGTATTGCCCCAAAGGAAACCTGATTTCCTACTCACTGAGAGTGGAAGGATTTCAAGGGGATGGTGACGACACAGCAGCCAACAATATCCAGTTCACCTGTGAAGAGAGAACTAGACTTACGGGCCATGGAAATCACTGGGGTAATTTTGGTACATGGAGCAGTCGCTGCTCTTCTGGAGCCATATGTGGGATCCAGACAAAAGTGGAAGGTCCCCAAGGGAGGGATGATGACACAGCCCTTAATGACGTGAGGTTCTTCTGCTGTAGATGAACCATAATAGCAATAGGGAGATACAGCTGAGTTTTCTAATTCCTTTATTCTACCCCTAGATGATGAAGTTTTAGTACTTTAGTTCAGAGTAAATTTACACACAGCACGAATCAGACAAGTGTATCACATGAGACATTCCTCCTGAACATTTAATCCTGAGGCCTCCATGGGAGACAAGCCCGCTTTTTATTTACCATACTGAAATTAAAATGTATGGTTTAACAAAGAATCTTAGTTATGAATGCTTTACATTTTAGTCACAGATATCAAATACAAATAATAAAAAACACTATATTTGATTTAAATGTATCATTTTCCAAATGTCTGATGAAGTGGATGTGCCCACGATAGCTCACATTAAAATATAATAGTTAGTCTTTAAGGTTCTACGTGTTGTGTTTTTGCCTTATTTTGTTTTATTTCATTTCTTTGGATTTTGCCTGATATGGTTGTACAGACTAACAAGGCTATCTCTTCCAAAACTACAACTTGATTAATATGGTGATTTTTCAGATTATTTTATCCCAAGCATTCTGCACTTTTTTGGTGTATGTTAAATGTTTACTCAACACAGGCATTTTGCAAATATTTAATTATTTTCAAAATCAAAAAATGATGTTGTAGTTCTCCATTCTTACAGAAAGCCATATGTTTTAGTTAAATTCTGTTTCCCTGAAAAAGACCATCTCTCCTTCCCATAATTAGTAAACATGCATGCTTTGAATGTATATGTGAGGGCCTTAAAAATAAACAACCCTAACTTCTGTTGGAAAGTTCTGGAACTCTTTCATTTCATCAGCGCATAGAAGTAAGGGTCTCTTTGTTCATTTTAAATATGGGAAACACTACAAAACACAGTTATCTTTATCTAACATATATTTATCCAAGAAAGGGATTTATTGAGTTTGCTGGAATATAAAACAACAACTGGCTTAAGAAGAAAACATAACTGGGCTCCAGGTAAGTAAAGCAGGTTCCAATTGCCCACATTAGCTTCTATCCAAGCATCTTCATCCATTTCAAGACGTAGCACACAACAGTTTCTTCACAAGATAATGTGTCATTACTTCTGTTCCTAGGAGTGAAAAGTGTCTAACACAGTATCACAAAGTATGGTTACTAATGACTGGATTTTTTTAATTTTATTTTTTGGACTACCGTTCCTAGGAGTGAAAAGTGTCTAACATAGTATCACAAAGTATGGTTACTAACGATTGGATTTTTTTTTTTTTTTTTTGGACTACGATTTCTATAATTCTCTATTCTCTGCATTCTACCTGACAGTCAGGCACCTTTCAGCCACCTAAATGTGGCTCACTAGGGAGAAAGGCCTAAATTATAAAACCATGAGACCTTGTTAAGACTAGCTTTGCCTAGCTTCCTGTTCTGGAAGAAAACTCCCAGTTAGCACTGGGAACAGGAATCTTGGCCAGAGCTAGGCCTAACTAAGTCTCCTAGCTTAAGCCTTTCCCCCCCTAGTGAGCCGCATTTAGGCTGTCAGGTAGAACCCCCAGAATGGAGAATTATGGGATTTGTAACCAAAAAATAGCATTCTCTGATGGTCAGCTCAGACTGTTCTAGTATAGTGTATCAGGGAATGGGTGAGATTTCTGCAGTTCACCAACTTTGCAGTGTGTACCTAAGGCTTATGAGATTCTGATAATCACCATTTGACATCTGTATTTATTTGTGATTTGCTGTGGCTACACACTTCTTATCAGAAAACTGAATCCGGAACTCATTCAGCCCTGAAGCTGTGTGAAAGGAGTAATTCATTTCTTCAATGAGAGGAAGACGGATGGTACAGTATTACATGGCGAGTGAAGTCTGACAAGACAGAAACTCATTTTTTTTGCTCTATAACACTAAGACTGTTGTATAGTATAACACTTCTATTCTTTACTCATGACCTCACTAAATACAGTGATGCCTCGCAAGATGAGTGCTTCGTTAGACGAAGAAATCGCATAACGTTGAAGATTTTGCGATCGCAAAAGCGATCGCAAAACGATGTTTCCTATGGGCTTGTTTCGTTTTGCGGTGATCGGTTCCCTGCTTTGCTAACCAATTATCATGGCCGCCTGCTTTTCGGACAGCTGATCGGCGGTTTCAAAATGGCCGCCGGGAAAAGAAATGGCTGCCTGCTATTTTCTGGGATGGATTCCTTGCTGCACGGGCAGTGAAAATCCTATGGAGGATCTTTGCTGGACGGTGAGTTGGAAGCCCATAGGAACGCATTAACTGGTTTTTAATGTGTTTCTATGGGCTTTTAAAAATCGCTTTATGATGTTTTCGTTCTACAGGGATTTCGCTGGAACAAATTAACATCGTAATGCGAGGCACCACTGTAATAGGGGTACACTTTCGATCTGGCATGCATTCAGAAAACTGAGTGAAGCTAGGGTGTTTATCTGTTTCTATCAGATCTGAAGGAAAACAAGGAATCCTGAAACAGCCCTCAGATTGAATCTGGGCTCTCTGAAGTGCTGAATTTTGCTTCAGTACTTTGGAGGTTTAAAATGCAGAGAAGCAGCTGTCTTAACAGAGCACCATGGCACAGTGGTTAAATTGCAGTACTTCACTCAAGCCTGTGCTCACAACTTGCGTTTGATCCCGATGGCTTCAAGTAGCCAGCTCAAGGTTGACTGAGCCTTTCATCTTTCCATGGTCAATAAAATGAGTACTCAGCTCGCTGGAGAGGAAAGTGTTCTTTGCACAATTGTATTGTAAACCTCCCAGAGAGTGTTCTAGTACTGTACTATGGGGCAGTACAGTGGTGCCTCGCTAGACGATGATAATCCGTTCCACTGAAATCACTGTTTAGCGAAATAATTATCCAGCGAAAAGCATTTCCCGATTGGAATGCATTGAAACCTGTTTAATGCGTTCCAGTGGGGAAGAATCGTCATTGTCTAGCGAAGATCGGCCATAGGAAAGCCGCTTTGCGAACCACCGATCAGCTGTTTAAATCGCTGTCTTGTGAAGCTTAGGTCCTGAAAACACCTGTTTTGCAAGCGCGGAGGGAGCTGTCAAAATTGCTGTCTAGCGAAAATTGGTTTGCAAAGCAGGGACCAAACATTGTCCAGCGAAATTCCCCCATAGGAATCACTGTTTTGCAAATCACTATAGTGATCGCAAAAAGTCAATGTCTAGCGAAAAAACTGTCATGCGGGGTAACTGTCTAGTGAGCCACCACTGTATATAAGTCAAAACACCACCACCAATATATCATAGGGTGATTACAGCTGGAAGACGGTGCCCACCCTATGCAAGATGGATTTATGGATGGTCAGAAGTTGGGTAAGGTTTGGCATGGCACATACAAGAGGAAAGGAAGAGGGAAGGAAGGAAGAAAACTGGTGGGAGCTTTGCCTCTACACTGGAGGATGAGGAGCAATTGGGGACACCCCACCCCAGGCCAGAGCCCTTTATTTCCCCCATTTTCGTGTTTTGTCCTCTGTTTGAACAAATATGTATAAGTCCTCCTAAATTTTCGGCTACAAATTGAATCGCAGAGACTACAAATGAGCTCAAAGTGAATTGGCTGTGATCTGTAAGATATACAACTCAGATCAAATCGTACAGGGGGATGATATTTATGCACCCCTAATAAGCAGTGTTGGAGAAGTACTATCACATTGTTCAGATACTGGCTTGTGCTGTTTGCTTCAAACTGGAGCCAAAACAGAGTAGCTCCCCAATTGCTTGTGGCCCTGTCTCAGAGGCTGACAGCATCACTGCTACATCCTGGCTGGGAACATGATGGCAGCTATGACATGAGGATGATAGCAATAGAAACTTGCTGGATCTTCCTGTCCTTGGTCATAGCCTCCATCTCACACCTCTGTTGCTTTGCTTTCTTTTAGTGGCAGCTGTTCTGAGGGCAGTTGTCTGGGAGGGAAGAGTGAACAGCTCTGTTCTCCACATGAACCTTGAAAAGGCCACCTACAATTTTAAAAATGGCAGACAACAACATTCAAGGCTGGCAACAAGAGACTTATGAGAGGGAGATGCCATGAGCACAGTGCTTGACGGTGCGACGGGTGCGTGGAGAAAAGTTGCTGGAAGAAAGGTGTTTTTTAAATGTCCATTCTCTGCCCAAACCAGATATGATTAGCCAAGATGCAAATAAAGCAATCATACACCCCCCCACACACACACAACTAAAGCACAAACCAGAACAAGGACTGCTGAACTGAAAATGTGGTGAAATGGGTTATTCTCTTCTCAAGTTTATTTGAGTAAAAGGCGAAAGATTTATACGATCCTTCTCTTCTCAAGTTTATTCAAGTAAAAGGCGAAAGATTTATACGATCAGAAAACAGAGTAAATCTAAAGTTTATTACATTAGCTAACTATCCTAGCCTCAAGATTTGATAGAAAGTTAGATGTTAAGTGGTTTTCTGACAGCATCTTGGCAGCAAATGTATTCCTGTTAAACACTGAAAATAAATGGACTAATCTAAGGAGAGCATCATTTATGATGGGTGAATACTCCTTTCGAATATGTTTTAACACAATCAAGGAACAAGCGAAAGCCACTGATTTTAAAAAAGGGGATTTTGAGGAGTGTGGTGACTGCCCACGTCACTCATGCTATTCATATTCATGAGCTGATTTGCATGAACCTATGAGAGGGCTGGAGAGGCGGAGTCAGCAGCTACATGAGGCTTGGCTGGAGAAGGAGGAGTCAGATAAGGCTGGTTAGTCAGAGAGATAGGGCTAGTTACAGATACTGTATAGGTACCAGGTTTCCCCCAAAATAAGACCTAGTATAACTTTTCAGGATGCTCGTAATATAAACCCTACCCTAAAAATAAGCCTCAGTTAAGTGAAACAGTTAAGTGAAAGTAAGCAGGGGCACGTGGGTAAACGTCACAAGGAGGAAGAGAGCCCTATTAAAAATGGACAGTCTTTTTCCAAACCACAATAAATACACATAATCAACACCGAACTTACAGTAAGTATTATGGGTCGGGAAGAGAGTCTATAGTCAGCTAGAAACCAACCTCTAAAGTTTTATTCATTAGTTACCAGACCCGTCACGTCACCAGCAGACAAAAGTGTTTCATTGTGGCAGTAAATTATGCCTTTTTCTTGTGGAAAAGGCATCTTCCGAGAAGAGATATGAAGCAACTAAGAGAGCTGGCATGACCCAGATGTTCCACGAAGCCTTTCTGAAGAATTCACAGCAGGAAGGGAGACAAACAAGGCCAATTCCCAGGACAGCTTGTCCTGCTTGCCCTGCACCCTCTTGCAAAGAACTGTTACTGTAATCATTTGTCCTTCATTGTTACCGGCTTTCCAATAGATAATTGTGTTTACCAATGACTGTAGGATGTGAACCAGGAAATTGTTTTGAAAACTTAAGAGATAAGTAAGCTCACAG